TTGGTGTGTGAGTTATGATCCAGTAATGTGCTTGTTATTATATAGGTGATAAGGGTGCCATGAAAGAATTTTAGTTTTCCCTCTCTCTCTCTCTCCCTCCCTCCCTCTCTCCCTCTCTCCCTCCCTCTCTCTCTCTCTTCCTTAAACATATATACACATCTTAGTACTATAGCCATATGGCAATTTTGTTAGATAAAAACCACTATTTAATTTTGCTTGTTCAATATAAAGAGCTTAAACATATTTTGTATTTTATATGTGTATGTTATAATTTTATATGTTATGTATAGGATTTTTGCAGCCATTCGTTCAAGGATGTGGTTTGATTAATTCAGTTGGTACAGATGGGGAACACCAAAGTCTGAAGCAGAAAAACAAAACTAGTTTTAACCATTTGGTTTCAGAATAGCTAGTCAAGAAAGCTTCTTCTCAAGGCCCTTTATGTGGGTATTGACCTCTGGGACTGGGTGATTTCTGCTGCCCCTCAGTGGGACAGTGGAGTACACTGGGGAAATTTGAGGGGCTTTTAATCATTTTGGATGAAAATACAGAAGTCTGTTTTTGTTTCTGTGTTTTTCATTTCAGGGGATTTGTGGATAACTTAGTATAAGTTCCAGATTCCTCTTGGTGTATCTCATTTACTAAACAGAGGGAGAGATGGGCACTAGAAGACAGTTGCTTGTGGTTTATTTTTCTGATATTAAATGTACACGGTGGTTAGAGACACCAATTAATTTTAAAAGCTTATAGAGAAAGATAGCCATTCTTCAGTTCTTCTCTTGCTTGGATAAATTGAATAAAATCATGTCTTTAGCTATAAGGAGAGCTCTATAATTCTTTGCTCTCTTAAATCATTCATGCAATAAGCACCACCACCACCACTACCAAAAAAGCTCTATCTTTGTTTTCTATTAGAGATGAAGATGACATCAATGATGTGACTTCCATGGCAGGGGTCAGCCTCAATGAGGAAAATGCCTGCATCTTAGCAACAAACTCTGAATTGGTTGGCACGCTTATTCAGTCATGTAAAGAAGAACCATTTCTTTTCATTGGAGCTCTACAAAAGAGAATTTTAGACATTGGTAAGTGCAAACTTATGATTATTAACCTAATGGGACTGTCTATTCCATGGGAAATCTTATCAAAGAGAGAGCTTTGGTTGGTCTTCCTGGAACTCTGAGACTTACATAAAGCTCTGGAAATAATTAAGATTCATAGGTGTCATAGAAAAAAGTATTGTAAGGGCTGGCCAAGTGACACATTTGTTAAGAGTTGGCTTGGGAGCACCAACTCTGAGCATCAGAGCCCCAGTTTGGATCCTACATGAGGGCCAGTGACGCTGCATAAGTGAAATTGTATTCCCATCAAACTTTATACCCTAAAAGAGACCACATTTAGCTTGTAGCCTCTGCTTTCAAGGAGAACTCTGGGGACAACTATTTGTATTTTCAGTTATTAATGATGCACAAACTTGTCATTTAATATGATGGGAAAAACAGAGTGAATGGAATTATGTATTTTTAGGAATATTTTCTCTTTATAGTAAAATTTCGTCTTTATAGAACAGGTCAGAACCAAGACAATTCCTTAATAACAAATTATAAATTTACCCAAAGAATTTTTTTAGAAGGTTTTTCTACTCAAATATGTTAGGAAAGTAAACATGCCAGCATTCTCCCTCTTTTGCTAATTACCTAAATTAAATTACACAGACATTCTGTAAAATCACAGAACAAGCTTGCAAGCACCAATTAGATCTCCTTAATCAGTTATGTTCACTTTGTTAAAGTGGGTGTTTTATTTAAAAGTGGGAATTTTTTCTTATAGTATTTAACTTTGTAACTTTGTCATTTTTTTATTAAAGTTTATTGGAGTGATTATAGTTAGTAAAATTACATAGGCTTCAAGTGTACAATTCTGTAATACATCATCATCTATATATCACAATGTATGTTCACTCCTCAGAGTCAGTTCTCCTTCCATCACATTATATATGACCCCGTTTACCCTCATTTACTACCCCCCTAACCCCTTAACTTCTGGTAACCACTACACTATTGTCTGTGTCTATGAGTTTTTGTTTCTTTCTTTGTTTGTCTCGTTCCTTTGTTGCTTTCAGTTTTATAGCACACATTATCAGTGAAATCATTTGGTTCTCGACTTTTTCTGTGTGACTTATTTCACTTAACATAATAATCTCAAGATCCATCCATTTTGTCGCAAATAGCAATATTTCATCTTTTCTTAAGGCAGAGTAGTATTCCATTGTGTATATATAACACATCTTCTTTGTCCAGTCATTTATCAAAGGACACTGGTTTCCATGTCTTGGCCACCATAAATAAAGCTGCAATGAACATCGGAGCATATATATCAAACTAAAAAGCTTCTGCACAGCAAAAGAAACCTTCGAAAAAATAAAGAGGCAACCAACTGAATGAGAGAATATATCTGCAAACAATGCCTCTGATGAGGGGCTAATATCCAAAATATATAAGGAACTCATATAACTCAACAACAAAAAAACAATCCAATCAAAAAATGGGCAGAGGACCTGAATAGACATTTCTCCAAAGAGGACATACAGATGACCAATAGACATGTGAAAGGTGCTCAACATCACTAATTGTCAGAGAAATGCAAATAAAAGCCATAATGAGATATCACCTCACACTGATTAGAATGGCTATCATCAGCAAGACAAATAATAACAAATGTTGGAGAGGCTGTGGAGAAAAAGGAACCCTCATACACTGCTGGTGAGAATGTAAATTGGTGCAGCCACTATGGAAAACAGTATGGAGGTTCCTCAAAAAATTAAGGATAGAATTACCATACAACCCAGCAATCCTTCTCCTGGGTATCTACCCCAAAAATCTGAAAACATTTATCCGTAAAGATATGTGTGCCCCAATGTTCACTTTGTCATGTTATATTATTGGGTTAGTGACGATATTAGAACATTTCATTGTTCACTAAGCCTTGGAATTGTTTGCAAATCCTGGCCTTGTTTATTTCTAGTATTTAAAAAATATAGTCCTTACTTCACGGACGATGTAGAGGCTTGACCACTGCATTGTACACCTGAAGCTGATGTTGAAAAATATTGTATGTGAACTATAATTTTTTTTATATATATAGTCACGGGATGTGGAATACAGTGTGAGGAGTGGAGTCAATGGAATTGTAATAGATATGTATGATATGGGGGGGATGGTGGATTAGGGGAGGGGGGTTGTCACTTTGTGAGGGGTAAAAAGTATAACTATTGCACTGTTTTGTACCCCTGAAACTAATAAATAAATAAGTTAAATAAATAAATAAAATTTTGGGCTTTATGTATTTGAATTTTTTTTAAAAATGGTCTTTTACATAGGATGAGGTATCTGTTTTATAAATACATAGGAAATTATTTTCAAAGTTTCCCTCCAAAACATTCAATATTTGTAAATGTTCATTTTCTTTAAGCATGAACTGGCATGTCATTTTCTATCTACTCTATGTTTAGTTCTAATTTTAATGACTGGATTGTTTTAAAACTGTTACTACCCCTTCTGTAAAAGGCCCCCACTATTAGTTTATGCTGATGGTTTTAGTAAAGTAACTTGATTTTGTAGTGTGTTTTCCCCTCTTCAGTCTAAAATTGGTGATGAATTCAGTTTTGCTAGAAAACAATTAACTACATTACATTTTGAAGGTTTGACTAAGGAGAAGCTGGATAATTTTATATCTTCTTCCTGTCTGGTTTACTATAGTCTGCATTTTGAAATAAGGTTTAACTTTTATTATGAAATAATATCAAATAATGTATTTCAGATTTGTTGGCTTTTAATTAAAGTTTATTTTTGCTATACTCATACACACTTTGATTAGTGTATAAGAGTGTATTTCAGATGGAGTGCAAAATCAGTGATATTTTAAAAATTCCTGTGTATTTGCATATGTTAAAAACAAACACAACAACACTATTAAAAGCTCATTTAAATTAGAGTACCTAATTGCCTATATCTTTAGATTTAGGTCTCTGTTGATACAGGTGGTTTCACTGAGCTGGAGAATTACTATTTAAATAGTGATAAGGTTGATTTATAAATGAACTTTTTCCTTTGGGTATGTGGTCCAAATTGTTTTCCAGAAACTTTCTTCCAAGTTAGCAAAAAGAAGACTAGAAGTTTGGTTTATTTACGGAAGGAGATATAGTGAAAGAAAAGTTATCCAGGCTTTGAACCCATTTCAACTTGTAATTTAATTACCAGGCCAATTTATCACAATGAGTTAGTGCAAAATAAGTATGATTGGTAATGGACAAAAGGAGTATAGGTATGTCTTGCAGACAAGGCATTAACAGAGACTTCTGATTCATTGAAATAAATGTCATAAATTGTTAACAGTGTCAAATAGGACAAAATGTAATTTTCCATTTTTTTTAATTACTAAAATTAGCAGAATATGGCACTGATTTCTGCAGTTACCGTTTTTCTCCCTAAACGCTAGGCTTGATTTGTGTTCTTATTAACTTTGTCCTATAAATGACCTTGCAAGGAGAATGATTCTAGAGACTAAGTGAAACAATGTCTATATTTTCTGAGGCTTCAGGCTAGGTTTTATTAATATAATGTCTTAAGATCTTTGAAGTTGTGACTTTACCAGGAAAATCATAATCTGCAAACCTTTATTCATAATGGGTATGACTTCCAGGGGGAACAGAATACCTGCTGTGCTAATTATTTCAATTATCAGCCTCCACTAAAACACATAATGGATTTTCTCTGCTTCCACAGGTAAAAAGCATGACATTACGGAACTTAACTCTGATGCTGTGAACTTGATCTCCCATGCAACACAGGAGCGATTACGAGGCCTTCTAGAAAAACTGACAACAATTGCTCAGCATCGAATGACAACTTACAAGGTAAAGGAAATCATTAAAGAAGTACAGACTCTTCTCTCTCCTCTTTATCGTGTTCAAGGTAGTTATATATATATATATATATATATATATATATATATATGAATTTATATTCTAAGTATATTTTTAAAGAAAATGATTGAGAGACATATTTCATGTTGGTTGAAAAATCAGTCTTATTCCTAATTTGTCTTATTTAGATACGTTTACATGACAAATAAAATAGAGTTTAAAATGGTATTCAAAGCTTCTGTGTCAGTGTAGATTGAAATATACATCTGTTCTGCCTGAGGCTTCTCCTAAAGCTTTTGATTGGGAAGGAGACTATGTTAGAATGGAATATTGGATAGTTATATTCTCTTCAGTGATCTTTTCTGCTAGCGCTCCTGTCCCTTTTAATAAGTTAAATGATTGCATTGAGTGCTAATACCGATGCTACTCATTATCGTTATTGGCTGCTTTTATAAAAAATTAAATGCAAGAATACCCTAGTGGTGTGAACCAAATCACTTGCTATTATCAAGATGAAAGCACTTGATTTATGGCTTTCGTGGAGAGCGAATTTATTGGGTGATGAGGGATGAAACAGGAAAACAATAACCTTTCCCCCCATACCGAAAAATGTTCATAGCTAGATTTTTACAACATACTATGTCGGTAACCTTATGAGGTTTTGAGTTTGCAAGAATGGTCATTGTCATGATGTCCTAGCCATAGCTTAACAGGAATCCAGGGCAATATCAGCTGCCATCACTGGTAAGTTCCCTGGAGGAATCATTCTATTTTCTCTCCTTTCTGCTTCATTTAGAACTAAGGAAAGGCTGTTTATAGTTGCTGAAGTCTTCACTTGTATAAATCTTTGTGAGAATTTGCTGGACTGATTTAAAAATATGTGATCATCAGGAGAAAAAGTTGTAAAACAAAACAAAACAAAAAAAAAACCAGTATCATTTCTTTGTGTGTGTTTCTAGAATTTGTCCATTCTGGGTTATCTAATTTGTTGGCATATAATTGTTCATAGTATTATAATCCTTTTTATTTCTCTCTGTAAGG